TACTTAATATTAATAAATATCAATGGATAAATATATTTCCAAAACAACTAAATTATTTCTATTTAAAATCAATTCCAACTGCATCAATTCATCTGGATAAAAACTTTTCAACTGAATATTTAGAAAATCCTTTAAATGAAAATATAAATTTGATATCTGATCAAAATCAAGAACATATTTGTGAAATTATAATTGATGGAATTTTAATTAAATATTGGAATAAAGATGTTCAATAATATTATGTATTAAACGATTTTAAATAAATAATTTAAGAAGCGAAAATGATTCCAATGAAATAAAATTTGAATATTAGGTTTTTAGCAAGATTCTTAAAGCAGAAGCAAATATAAAGTTTAGCGATGTAAAAGCAAGTCTTTATCAAGAAGAAATGAAAAAAGAGACATATCGATGTAAAAATATGTTAAAAAAAATTTCTTGATTAATTATAGTTTTGTTTAAGTTTCTAAATATGAAATATATGAGAGATTGTTCAATTTTATTAGGTTGCTAAACATTGGCGCTTGCTTAAGAAAATATTTATGAGTTTAGAGCGTGAGTCCACACCAATTATATCTTGATAATTATCATTATTGAAATCAGTAAGACTAAGCCATGTGTAACCATATAGAGATTCATTTGAATAAATGGTTTGTATAGAGAACTTTTCATTTCCATATCCAAGTAATGCATAGATTCCACATGGATCAATCAAATTAATAATAATGTCCAAATGATTATCACCGTTAATATCACCTACAAAAGCTGAATGCAAGTTTTGACCAGGTTCTATAATAGTTTTCACTTTCTCATTAACACTAAAACTATTATTGTTATATTGATATATCATATAAACAAGATCCTTCCAATTCGTGTAAATAAAACCAATATCAGATTGATCATCATTATCAAAATCACCAATAACTATTTTAGATTTTTTAGCATCAATTGTAGTAAAAAACCATTTCGGTGATTGAAATGTTCCATTAGATTGTCCAAAAAATACATAAATATGTAAAGAGCTATGATCATACACGACTATATCGAAATAACTATCATTATTAACATCACCAACAACTAATTCTCTTAGATCACAGTTTATCCTTACAAATAAGGGAAATTCTGATGAAAAAGTTGCGTTTCCCTTTCCAAACATCACATAAACATTATAATCCTTGTAAAGAATCATAACGATATCTACTTTCTTATCATTGTTGAGATCAATCACACTAATTTGTTGCAGCCTTTGAGGCATTACCCGAGACAACATGTTTTGCGTTTGAAATGTTCCATTTTCAATTCCAAGTAAAATAGTAAAAACATGATTGTCACTAGTCCAAAAATTCTCTCCACTCGCGTGCATCAAAATTAAATCAGATCGATTGTCATTGTTAAAATCAGCAACATGGACATGTTTTAATTCATTGAAACTTTTAAATGAGAATATAATTGGTTCTTGAAATTTTCCGTTACCAATGGCAAATAATAAAGTCATCTTGTGAGTGGAATAAAAGTCACAAATGTATATCAGATCAACTTGATTATCATTATTAAAATCTGCAACAACGCTGAAAACGTTGAATAAATAATTTTCATCACAAGACATATTGACTGATATCAATTCAAATTCCAGTTGACAAAATGGTTCTAAGAGAAATAAATCTAATCAAATACTATCCCATAGAAATTAACTTGGACATTAAGTTCTGTATACAATAAATCATTATGTGTGTTACTTAGACAGTCAGAGGACAGATTGACAAATAAAAGCAATTTCTATCCTGTTCTGTTATTTTACAAGATACGAAAGATATTTATGCTTCAAATTTATACATCATTTTTATATTAGCAAAAAAATGCTTCCTTTTAAATTTGTCGAGAGACATGTTGCTAAACCACGGCACTAGGAGAGAATGTCGCAGGACGAAATAATGCAATAATCAGATGGTATGATATATTTCAAGAGTAGAGTGTGGATATGGGAGAGAAACGAACATCGCACTCACATCTATCGTTGAAATACTACACCATCTTATTAATGCAACATTTTACCCATATGATATTTTGTCCATACTTTGATTTTTTTGCAACTATACGTTCGCGACATTTTGTCCGATCACTATCCAACTGTCATTTTAATTCAATTACTAACCTGGTATAGTCGAAGATGTTAATATCACCGTACTTGCTGTTGTATTCAAACTATCACCCATTGTTACATTCGGTGCCGAAACTATTGAAGAAAAACAAACATTTAAGAATTATTTCATCAAATATCTCTGGTCATTTTTGAATTAAGATTTTTCTTTATCACTTTCATTTCCAAACGAGCTTTCAAATTACATTTTGTTTTTCTGCATTTCATTTCAAGTTTCACAATGAATATCAACTGTAAAATTATATTCTTACCATGTTGAGCATAATAAATCGAAAAAATAATAACACCGACGATCAAAAATATTAGTAATACAATTATCGAAATTATACTAGAACAACGCCGAATTGGTGAAATAATGATTCTTCTAAAGCAGAGAAATTTAGAATTAAAATAATAAATTGAAAATGCTGACGATATACTCAGATGTTATGTTATCGGTTGTTGTAATTTCAACATTTAAAGTTGTGTTATGAATAACAGAACTATCAAATGATATTTCAAGAGAATTGTCAGGATGAATTGATGTTCTTTGTCTTTTTCGATAACGATTGATTGTTGATACAATTCGAACTAGTTTTGGACAAATCCATTTAAGAACGATTGCTAAACCACCTTGAAGACCAAGAAAAAGAGTAATCGTATATAATATATTAAATCTTTCAATATTAGTATATGAACATAACAAAGGAGAACATTGTTCATAATAAGATGAATAGTTGGATTGATTGAACCATTGTTCATTAAATAAATTTTTAATCAATTCATCAATTTTTGTATTCTCTGGAAAACGACTGGAGTTGGTTGAAAGAGGAATTGAAGAATTATGATAATTTGTATACTTTTGAATAAGATTAAGACATGATTGATCATAAAAACACTCGAGAGTTGATAAACGACATGATTCACTTGGTGTACATCCCATTTTTAATCCTTTCACTGGTACCATCTCTAAGGAATTTTCATCGACAAAAGTCGCTTGAGTTGTACAGTTTGAATACAATCCACATGAGCATTCATTATCATAAATCATACCTTCAGTATATGCATAACTAATCATATCTTCAGTCAACAAAGAAGTATATTCGAAATTTGAGCCATATGTTGATATGAAAGCATTTCCATGATTAACAGTTCGAGTGATGAAGAGAAGACGAGAGAATAGAATAGGAGCATTTGATTTGCTTTGCTCAATTGAATTATTAACATAATCATACAAATTTTGTTCAGAGAGAAGTTCAATAGTGACTAATAATGATGTTAGCGATTCATTAACAGCATTATTGACTGATTGTTGAGAAAGACGACATAATCCTTGAAGATATTGTATATGAGCAGAAATAAATCGACGATAATCTTTTTGTGAATAAATAGATAAATTAGAAACAAGACCATTTGCTATACCGATTCGCCAGTCTTCGGAAATGAATTCACTTGAACAAATCTATCAGTAAGAATGAATGAAACTGTTAATTAACCTATCATTCATAATTTTCATAAGGAAATTTTTATAAAAAAAACAAAATTCTTTCATTTTATCTGATTAATAAGAGTTTCTGAACTTTTTTCAATTGTGAATTTCACTGATGGTATATTCGCTATATTTAAATACTCGTGGATGTTTGCCCATTGGCGGTAAGATTTTATCCTGATCAACAAAGTCATGATGTAACAAGTTGCTTATTCAATTCTTTTGAAATAATAAATTCTTTCTTACCGAATGAAATTCTGGTTTAATTTCAACAAATTGATCATATGTTGATGCTATTTTTGAGCATGAACATTTTAATTTATTTCCATAAGTTTTTTTTAAATGTGTATAACGAATAAAAGATGGTTGATCAAATGTTTTTGTTAAACTATGTGGTTGAATACTTGTATAAAAGATAAGGATAATCAGACAGCTAAGAAATAAAACAATATAAAGACGAGTCGCCCATCGACCATAACGTTTAGCTGTTATTTGATCAGTATTACTTCCAAAATCACGTGTTGAAAATATATTTAATTCAATTAAAGTTGTTGACAAAAGCTTAATCAGATTTCGTATCATGATTCTCATTCGATCGATACAACTACGTTGAACTAAAGAGAAATAAAAACATATTAAACACATTCTCTTTGAATAGTTGTATATATCGAGTAAACATTTAGAAATCTTGAGGGTGTGGGTGTGGGTGTCGATTTTCTTTTTATTTCTCGACACCCACACCCACACCCACACCCTCAAGATGTTTTACTGTAACAATTATTTCGAAGTCTTATATCTAAAAGTTTTTCCGCTGATGAAAACCTCGCGCGATATTATTTACAAAATAATTCAATTTTAATCAACTGAACTTTAAACTTAATCTATGGAGATTTGATTAAAACTTTCATTACCTCGTTCTCTTGGTTGATGTTGTTTCTTTTTCTTACATATTGTTGGTAATTGAGCAATAAATTTAACAAGATAAGGTGTCACCATTCGTAATAAAGCCACAATGCCACCAATTGTTGCTATTAATTTTATTACCACTCCACCAAAATTTTCTGTACGAATTTTTTTTGAATAAGTACAATAAATTGGTGCACATGATTTATAAAATGATTGATACGATGATGATCGATTCCAGTGTTCGATCATCATTTCCCTAAACATAGTTGAAACAGGTGTATTTGGAACAAAATGGCTCATTGTCGGATTATAAACCATTGGATGAATTACAAGCGATGATTGATTACGACCCAGTAAATGAACCATCTTTGTAGTATAACTCAATAAGAATGGAAAACAATCTGAATCTACATATAAACATTGAAGTGTTGAATGAAGAAGAGAATCGATAGTAAGACATCCTCGAATCCAACCTGATACACTAAAAGTTAAATTATAATTATTGACAGTCCAAGGCGCATTAAGAGAATCGTAAATAACAGCTGGAACTTTACAATAAGGATCAGTTGCACAAACACATCTAGTCATTGATGAGTTGATTTCTTCGATTTCGTTTAAAATAAATTTCAGCTAAAATTAATATTACAAAAATCTATAATTCGACATTAAACAAATGAAAGCAATTCTATTTCTATATGTGATCAATATCGATTTTTTTCTAAGGAAACATGATTTATTTGAAAGACCTTTTCTGTTATTGAAATGTTTTTGATAACGTGGGTGCGAGATGGTGATAGACGCAGCAGAATAGAAACTCCATCACCCTCATATCCACACCCACACCCTCAATATTAGTCCTCTTAGCCTCATAGTCCCCTTAGTCCTCTTAATCTCCTCAGTTGCCTAATCCTCTTGATTTCTTGTGATTTCAATTTGATTTCAATCATTGAAATCAGCTTATTAACCGGTGAACATTTGATGCCGATCAGTTCAGTTTAGTTCAGTTCGTTCAAAAGAACTGTACAAGTAATTCATGAACCTGGACTGCCTCTACCCCTAATAATGACAGACCATGAAGCCTATCTGAATTATTCACTGCCAAAAATAGTCGCTGAAATTTTTTCTCATAACTTAGTTTCCCTGACTCTATGAATCCAAGCCAGTTCAGTTCGCATGAGAAAACGACCCTCCACTGTTTGACAAATCCATATCAATATCTCACCGATCAAAACTCTTTCAAAAAAAATGTAGAATTTCGATGGATATGACACGTATCTTTTGATGCAAGCAACTTCTGGGAAACTGAATCAGAAATTTTGTCGGAAAAGACGAACCGTATACTCACATAATTACTTCCGAGCTTAGGAAGTGCTTCAAAGTGAGTCTGGAACGAAGGTTGGAACCAATCTGGAATCGCTCATTTGGAATTCGTGAAAAACGAAAATGGAACTGGTTATTCATTAAGGGATGCTTAATACCAGTGTTTTTATCTAGGTATCGTTTTTCGGATGGACGGCGTACATTCAGTACCCACTCGGCCTACTCGCTACATAAAACACTGCTTAATATCCGGAAGGCAATCAGAAATTGCTGGAATTTTTTCAGGAACTTTCAGACGGTTTCAAGTCCGTAATGACTACGGAAAAGTGGAAAAATTCGTTGAACTCCATCCCGGAATACTATTTTCATCAATTCATGGTAATGAAATGAACCCGCTCGTTTCCATGTATTTCTCGACCTGGGCATTTTACTAAGTCTGGCAATCATTATATTATAAATATTTTCTTTTCTTTATAAACGTGAATACTGTATAACTTAATAACTTTTTAATTACTTTTCCGAAATAGTCTAGATAACTGAACCATTTCTAATTATTTCTTTGGCCAAATGTATCGCTTTATCATTCAAAATACTAACATACCTTTACTAGTTTAGTTGTATTTGTTTTATTTTGTACAACATCTTCGATTAGATTGGTGTCCGTACTAGATTGACCTCCCCGGTCTACTCCTGTATACAGCTGATCAATCTGCATAAGAAGTTGTAAAGTATTTGTTATCAAATCAAAACTATGAATTGTTGATTGATAAAAATGTTCAAGGCTGGAATTTAATTGTTTGTCGAAATCGTCTTCGTTTATTACAAAAGAAGCAATAAATAATTGAGAAAGATAGCGTTTCACAGCATCATTGATTGTCTCGTCAGCTAATTGACAAAAATCAGATAATAATTGAAACTGTAGGAATGCACGAATACGCCAATCTTTATAACTCCTATCATGTGCATCCATTCTCATCATTTGAATCCAGTCATTATCAACAAAACCACTGGAACATATTTGATGATAATGTGGAGACAATGAAACAATTTTTTGATGAGAGATTGCTTTATTAAAACATGGACATTGGAGTGAACCGTGATATAAGCGTTGTAAAGAATTATAAGTTGTTAACGATGGATTTTTTTCAATTTTTGTCAGAGTTTCACTACTCAATGATGTGAATAAACAAAGAATACAGATTGAACCTATAATGTCATCAACAAAGAAAGTGAATATGTTATTTATATAAAAATGAGATTTTATCGAAAATTGAAAAATGTTCCTTAACCTACGAGAATAGTATTTTTTTCTAAAATACATGATAATTTATCTCTCAATGTAGTCAAAAGCACAAACTCTATAATTAGATACAATTAATCGAAACTTTCTTTGAATTTTAGCCCATCACTTATAGAAAACAATGACATAATAACTTTACCAGTTAATAAAATCAAATAAACACTTGTGGTAATCTTTTGTTGTTTGATACTATTTTCTGTTCGATCATTAACATTCTTA